AGGGTTTAGAGTCTAGGGCTTGGGGTTTTAGAGCTTAGGATAACGCAAAATTCATGCTATGCAGAGAAAGAAAGGGCAGGTGAAAATTTCCGTCATAAGACCCTAACCGAAACCCCTTGTAACAAGCATATCCCCTGAACAAGAAATTCTTTCAGTGCTTGCCCCGGAGCCCACAGCTTCGCGCGCTGCAGCCGCGCCTCGCGCGCGGCTCCCAGCCGCGCGCGTACGGAGATCCTCCAGAGGGTTTTCGGGTTTTGGGGTTTAGCTCTGTTAAGGTAAAAGCCAGAAAGTTGGAATATCATTATCCTAAGCCCTTTATGGTAAATTATAGGGTATCCTACCCTGAAACCATATTCCAACTTTCTGGAGTTCCCTGTAGGGTTTAGGGTTCAGGGTGTTAGGGTCTAGGGTGTAAGGTTCAGGCCCTGAACCCGAATCCAAGAAGCTCAACGCAATTCGTTCCATGTTAAACCCTACTTAAAGGGTCATGGGACTTAGTAACTAGGGTTACAATTAGGGGAACTATACTTATAATTACTTACAACCACAATTAGGGTACTTATATCCCTACTTACTAAGTCACATGATCCTCCAAGTACAGTCTATCTCTGTACCCTCATTTAACACCGAACTCAAGATCTAAATCTCTATTCTCCTAAGGGCAATTCTCTAAATTACGGTTCCTTTTGGGTCTGGAATTAGTTTGGGAATTTTTTTTTTTTTTTTTGTATTTTTTTTTTTTTTGTGGTTTGCTTGGCCGCCACGCCACAGCGCCAGCGCTTCGACACGCAGGATCCCTGTGGAGGGTTCATCGGGGACGTAGAAAATTTGCACCGCACCACAGCGCCAGCGCTTCGACCCGCAGGATCCCTGTGAAGGGTTCATCGGGGACATACAAAATTTGCGCCGCGCCACAGCGCCAGCGCTTCGACACGCAGGATCCCTGTGGAGGGTTCATCGGGGACGTAGAAAATTTGCACCGCACCACAGCGCCAGCGCTTCGACCCGCAGGATCCCTGTGAAGGGTTCATCGGGGACATACAAAATTTGCGCCGCGCCACAGCGCCAGCGCTTCGACACGCAGGATCCCTGTGGAGGGTTCATCGGGGACGCAGAAAATTTGCACCGCACCACAGCGCCAGCGCTTCGACACGCAGGATCCCTGTGGAAGCTTCATCGGGGACGTTGAAAATTTGCACCGCGCCACAGCGCCGGCGCGTCGACACGCAGTAGCCCTGTGAAGGGTTCATCGGGGACCTCCCCCCTTTGCAAACCTTTTAAATCCTTCACGATTGATTGTGTTTTCTTCGCATCTTGTGTTTTGGCAAATACGTTTTTGTGCATCTTTCTTGCCTTTAGTGAGCGGGGAGTTTAGTCTAAAAAAGCGGGGGGGTTGGGGGGGCGCAGCCCCCCCCATTTGTAAACCTTTTAAAACCTTCACGATTGATTGTGTTTACTTCGCATTCAACCACCCTGACGGTTTGTTGTATTTACAAACCCTTTAAACCCTTCACGACTGACTGTGTTTTCTTCGCATTAAACCACCCTGACGCGTTGTTGTCTGGCTTTCTCCTTCTTCTGTGTTGGCGAATACGTTTTTGTGCATCTCTTCGTGCCAGTGAGCGGGGAGTTTAGCCAAAAAAAAGCGGGGGGGCTTGGGGGGGCGCAGCCTGCAAACCTTTTAAACCCTTCACGATTGATTGTGTTTACTTCGCATTAAACCACCCTGACGCGTTCTTGTCTGGCTTTCTTCTTCTTGTGTTTTGGCGAATACGTTTTTGTGCATTTCTTCGCGGCTTTTTAGTGAGCGGGGAGTTTAGCCTAAACAAAGCGGGGGGGTTGGGGGGGGCGCAGCCACCCCCCCAGTTGCAAACCTTTTAAATCCTTCACGATTGATTGTGTTTTCTTCGCATCAAACCACCCTGACGCGTTGTTGTCTGGACTTCTCCTTCTTGTGTTTTGGCGAATACGTTTTTGTGCATCTCTTCGTGCCTTTAGTGAGCGGGGAGTTTAGTCTAAAAAAAGCGGGGGGGTTTGGGGGGGGCGCAGCCCCCCCCATTTCCAAACCTTTTAAACCCTTCACGATTGATTGTGTTTACTGTTTACTTCGCATTCAACCACCCTGACGCTTTGTTGTATTTACAAACCCTTTAAACCCCTCACGACTGATTGTGTTGTCTTCGCATTAAACCACCCTGACGCGTTGTTGTCTGGCTTTCTCCTTCTACTGTGTTGGCGAATACGTTTTTGTGCATCACTTTGTGCTAGTGAGCGGGGAGTTTAGTCTAAAAAAAGCGGGGGGGTTGGGGGGGGCGCAGCCTGCAAACCTTTTAAACCCTTCACGATTGATTGTGTTTACTTCGCATTAAACCACCCTGACGCGTTGTTGTCTGGCTTTCTTCTCCTTGTGCTTTGGCGAATACGTTTTTGTGCATCTCTTCGCGGCTTTTTAGTGAGCGGGAAGTTTAGCCTAAAAAAAGCGGGGGGGTTGGGGGGGCGCAGCCCCCCCCATTTGTAAACCTTTTAAAACCTTCACGATTGATTGTGTTTACTTCGCATTCAACCACCCTGACGGTTTGTTGTATTTACAAACCCTTTAAACCCTTCACGACTGACTGTGTTTTCTTCGCATTAAACCACCCTGACGCGTTGTTGTCTGGCTTTCTCCTCTTTCTGTGTTGGGCGAAATACGTTTTGTGCAGCTTTGCGCCAGATGAGCGGGGAAGTTTAGCAAAAAAAAAAGAGGGGGGCGGGGGGCTTGGTGGCGGGCGCAGCCTGGCAAAACACTTTTAAAACCCTCTCCGAGTGATTGTGTGTACTTAGCATAAAACCACCTGGCGAGTTCTTGTCTGGCTGTTCTTCCGTCTTGTGTTTGGCGAATAAGTTTTTGTGCATTTCTGTCGCGGCTTGTTTATGAAGCGGTGGAGTTTAGCTAAAACAAAGAGGGGGGTGGTTTGGGGGGGGGCGCAGCCACCCCCCCAGTGCAAACCGTTTAATCCATCCACGATTGGATTGTGTTCTTCGCATCAAAATACCCGACGCGTTGTGTCTGGACTTCCTGCTTGTGTTTTTGGCGAATAGTTTTTGTGAATCTCTTCGTGCCTCCTTAGTGAGGGGGAGTTTGAGTCTAAAAAAGCGGGGGGGGTTGGGGGGGGGCGCAGCCCCCCCCATTTCCAAACCTTTTAAACCCTTCACGATTGATTGTGTTTACTTCGCATTCAACCACCCTGACGCTTTGTTGTATTTACAAACCCTTTAAACCCCTCACGACTGATTGTGTTGTCTTCGCATTAAACCACCCTGATGCGTTGTTGTCTGGCTTTCTCCTTCTACTGTGTTGGCGAATACGTTTTTGTGCATCTCTTCGTGCTAGTGAGCGGGGAGTTTAGTCTAAAAAAAAGCCGGGGGGTTGGGGGGGGGCGCAGCCTGCAAACCTTTTAAACCCTTCACGATTGATTGTGTTTACTTCGCATTAAACCACCCTGACGCGTTGTTGTCTGGCTTTCTTCTTCTTGTGCTTTGGCGAATACGTTTTTGTGCATCTCTTCGCGGCTTTTTAGTGAGCGGGAAGTTTAGCCTAAAAAAAGCGGGGGGGTTGCCCCCCCCATTTGCAAACCTTTTAAACCCTTCACGATTGATTGTGTTTACTTCGCATTAAGCCACCCTGACGCTTTGTTGTATTTACAAACCCTTTCAACCCTTCACGACTGATTGTGTTTTCTTCGCATTAAACCACCCTGACGCGTTGTTGTACGACATAAGGAGGCAGTATTCTCGAAGCTAGACAGTATAAGAAGTTGCGAAGCGAAAAAGCCAAGAAGCCGAAAAGCCAAGAAGCCAGAAGCCAAGAAGCCAGGGAAGCCGAGAAGCCAAAAGCCCAGAAGCCAGGGAATCCAAGAAGCCAGAAGCCAAGAAGCCAAGCGCGCACACAAGTCAAAAAAAAAATGCCCCCCCCAAAAAAAATCCCAAAATAAATACACCTCCTTAACTCATGGTATCCCAGAGTTTCCTGCGATAGCACATACGCTCTGTGACATACATCAAACGGCTCAGTTGCCTTGAGCGCCCTCTCTGCATTGGTGGCATGCCCCACATAAGCCAGATCGCGGAGGTAGGGCTTGACAAGTTCTGTCCACTCCGTCAGGAGGGAATCGCCATGGAGCTCAGAGCCCTCAACCGGCATTCCCTGATGCGCTGGGCTGTTGAAGTGGCGGTGCCACATCTCGTACAGGAGAGGGAATCCTGCGTACGGGTACTGCTTCCGCAGACCAATCCACTCGCCATTACGAATTCGGCCGAGAAAGATGTAAGCGTCTTTGAAATACGCTGGTTCCTCAAAGGCCATCGCTTCCGCGAGGCGATCAGGGTCCTTAAGAGCCCTGCGGAAAGCCTCGATGCGTCGGCGACGCTCCTCGATCGAGATCACAGGCAAGGAGGGGGATGCCATGACTGCTGTGCTTTCTAGGAAGTCTTCACTCAAAGTAGCTTGTACCGCAACAGCAGCTTGTCGTGCAGGAAATCGTGGCTCGAAAATGTTCTTGAGCTTACAGCCATGAAAATTGTTCATCACTTCAATTGGCAATTTCTTGTAGGAAGCATGCAATCTCCAATGACCTAAATTGCCTGATCTTTCGTCATCAAGGATCTCGAAACTCGTACACTCATGACTGGAACACTATTTAATAACTCGATCCATCTTCCATGAGAAGTGATCCCACGGAGCAATCGATACATAACGACATTTATTCATGTCCAATCCAGTGCTTAAGATGACGAAAGAAGACCATAGCTTGCCGAAGTGTTTGCGGTCATCAGGACCCCCCGCAAAGCGCAGGTCAACCCAAACGATGATTGGAACATTTGCCTTGGCATAGCCTTTCACGACCTTGAGCAAGTCCCTACTCGTCTGAGTGTTGTTAAGGTCCATGTTGTGAGTTACTCGAACAACAGATGGGCTACCGCTACCATTATCGTCTGCCCTTCCGAGCAGAGACAACGACGGATTCATGTCCCCATTCAATGAGAACCCCGTCGTTCTCGGGCTCGATCCTCTTCTCGAGGTCGTCTGGCACGACGATCGGCGAAGCAGGCCTCGATGGTTTGACATAGACATGGCCAATGAGGAAAATCGCTCTCTTCCATTTGTCAATGTTGGTAAATGGCTTAGTCAAAATGTCGGCAGACTGCAGCAAGGTACTAATATACGCGAGATCATAGTGTTTCCTCCTGAACTGTTCCGATACCCATCCGAGATTGATTCTCTGGGTTTTATCTGTGTGCCTAAATGCTGGTGACCTCCCGGACTCCATAATCCTAATGGTGGCCTGGTTATCTTCCAACATCACAGGTTGCATGCAATGTGGTGCGGCCATGATCAATGAATGTTCGGATCTGATCTTCGCATCATCGGTGTACTCGAAGTCGCCAAGTCCGTGACGGAGCTTGTAAGCCTCGTAGTTCAACTCGGCTTCTGCTTCCGCAGAGCGACGATACTCCAATGATGACTTCCGGGACAGGCACAAGATGGCTTTAGCATCCTTCGGAACCATGTAGGAGGCATTCTCGAGCTCTTCCCAAGCAACAGCTTCTTCTGTTCTGGACCATTTGTCCCCCCGGAGCAACCACACATCTCGAAGAGGATGGGATGAAAGCTCAACGGGTTCAGGTATACTATCACCTCCTGAAAGAACAGCTACTCGACAATCAATAAGTTCATGTCTACCGGTCTTTGGCACCTGAGAAGCTACATCCTTATCTGGGAATTTGGCCAAACAGGCATCTCCCTTCCGGGGTGCGCACGGCTTTGATGCGTCTGAACCCCCCCCCTGCCTTCAGGAGCACACTCCACAAAGCGGAGGATGGCAAACCAACAGTTCTCAAAGCTATGTTCGCGCAAACGACCTCGGACTCGGTAGAACTGATCGAAATTGAGGTTTGCTTCTTGCTGTAAGCCGCCAAAGGAAAATAGGTATTGGGTCCTACCAAAGCCTCAAAACTCAAAACATCCTGATGTGCTCTTGTTATCATGTTCACCAGCATGATCAGCGTCTGCGAACAGCCCTATTTTGCACTGGTCAATCGGGTCACCGATGAATCCCCTCAACTTCAAGTCAAGAGTGGCATTGATGTAACACATCAATCGGTGGAGAGCCCGATCGCATTCAGCAGACCACTTGGTTACTCTGCTAGCCAATCCCTGAACAGCCCGAAGTAAATCATAACGAGCCATCCTGGCCGCAAACAAAAGCTTCATCAAAACTCGGCTAGCGACGGGAGCCAATTCACCCTTTGCCTCGGCCTCATCGTCGATGGGCCTCGCGATCTTCTCGTCGGCGAACGGTGTGGAGGCTGACTTAAGGGTGTGGTACTTGGGGCCAGCAAGATCCTTGTACTTTTGTACAGCTTGTTCAAGAAATGATTTCATGTCAGATTCGATGATGTTGACGGGTTTATTCATGCATCCTTTGCCGTCAGATAATTGGCTGATGTCATAGAAGGCCTGTTTTCTAGATTCCTTCTTCGCAAGCTTCTTGTCACGGATGCGTTTAACAGCGGCCACGGCATGGTGCTTGTCAAGACCACGATCAAACAGATAAGTGGTTCCCGTCCAAAGTCCTGAAGCCTTGCCCCCCCGGAAACCATCATCCCATTGTTCTTCTGGAGAAGTCCTTCCAAGAAGCTGACGTTCGGTCAATCGTAGATCGCCGATGTTCAAGACGTCTGCTTCCGCAGCGCTAACAGCATACTTAGCTTTACGAGGCTGCATATGATGGCGAACAATTACACCTTCATCGGGATAGTACTCTGTGTAATCCTGGGATGTAGCCGGAACCGAAGGTTTGCTGCAGGGTCAGGAATGCTTTTGTCAAAGATGTGGGCAAAGGGATGGTCAGCTGTTCCCAGTTGAACTTTCTTCTTCTCAACATGTTCACACCCAAGGTATCTTCCAAGTGGAGTCGGGCTGTCCATGTCAATCTTGGACCCGATCAGCTTCCACCCTTCCTGCATGTTCTCAGCAGGTCCAGCCATCTTGAAATCATCAACGTAGACAGCTAATAGCAGGCGAAGCTTAGGATGAAAGAAACCGAAGGCCATGAAGAAGGAAACAGAAGATCAAAACCCACTTGTTTGAGTCTCTGCTCGCAATGCTTCTCCCAGAAGCCCCCCGAATCAGGATGTCCATACAGCGCGAGGTAAAGCCGAACAACTGGATCTTTGAACTTACCAACCCAGGACTTAGGCCACCGCTCCCTTGGCAATCGAACCCAAGTTTCGGCACCTTTTAATGTCGTCTGAGTGTAAGCTTGCTTACCGTCGGCCTGTTCACAGGCGAAACCCGGCTGAGATCCATACGCATCCAGCACCTTGCCAGCCTCCATCGAAGCAGGACTTGATCCTAGCTCTGAGAACAAGGCGGCATTGCTGCTTTCGTCCTGGACATTGTTACCCTGAAAGACCGTCCGGCCTTTGAATTTCCTCAGGGGATTTCCTTTAGGGAGTTCGCTTCCCTTTTCTACACAGATTTCGAAAACACGTCCAACATGAGCCTTGCGACCCCGTCTGACGGCTTCCGCCGAGATCTCTGACCACTCCCGTGGGTTATCCATGTCCCAGGCTCGCTTTTGCATAAGCTTAGCCCATTCCACATCAAGTGATTTCTGGGCATCACTGTTCTCCGCGAGCTCCTTCTTGCCAACTGGACGAGCTACTAGTGCCATGATGACTTCCAGCTCAGATTGTGTAAACTGACGATCTTGACCAATCTTTTCACGATGCTCGCCACTACATGGGATAGTTGGCATAGTCGGGAAGGGTTCCCCCACGATATGAGCACTGCTAGCACCCAATGGTAGGATCTCAAAGATGGTTTTGCCGGTCCATCTAAAAGGCAATTTCTTATTCCTTCT